GGAGGAGAGAGAGAGAGAGAGTGAGGGAGAGAGAGGGAGAGAGAGGGGGGGGGAGATTGAGAGGGCGAGAGGACGAGTGGGTGAGAGGGTGAGTGGATGAGAAGGGGGCACAAAAAGCGAGGTCAGGACTTCGTCGGAGCGGCGCCTAGCGTCGCGGCGCTGCTCCGTTTCCGCTCTGCTCGCCTCTCCCCTCGACCCCATCAATTCGTGCAATTTATCCAAATGTACTGCGCCCCTTTATCCTTCTCTCTCAACTTTCATAATGTCTTGTTTACGCGGACGCTCCGCATCTCCGTAGCGACTTCCGTTCCCAAGGCGATCAAGCACCGAACTCCTTGAGGCTGAGGTGATTGCGCCACGAGACCACAGCCGACGAGAGCGAGGCGCGATTATCGTCGAGTCAGTGCGTCAAGTTACGTTAGGGCGGAAGTTCCGAAAGGCTCGACGAGCCGTATTTTATATTCCGGGGGAGGAAGGAGCGCCGCGAGATGTTTTCAACTCCTAAGTTAGGTTGATTGAATCAGGTTCTCTCGCCGATTCTGCCATTATCCCGGGTACATGCAGTCGTTGGTCATATCGGCGAAGTGCACAATTAACGAGGAATATTTTATCGGATTGACTTTATAAAAACAAATGTTCTCTCCCCTTCTCCGGCCTACTCAACTTACATAATAATATAAGATACTTGGTTCGCTAAATCCATCCTATAAATCCAATCCCTCGGCAGAAATTTCAACATTGCTAACGCGCCATTGGTATTGCACATTAATAAGCAGCTCGGCTAATTAATATCATATTACTAAAGAATTTTTAAGACTGACGAACGATGAGCGAGTTTTTCCAAATTTGAGCCATCAATTTCTATCGACGCACTTAATGAGGGGGAAAAAACCGTGGAGAAATTAAATAGCAACGCGAGCGCGTCCTGATGGTATGTGAATTGAAATTGTCAATCCCGTTAAAATTAATAAATGCGGGATGCTCAAGTATCCTACTTGATGGACATTAATTACGTGAAAATGTCATTGCGATACTCGACGTTAGATAATCGTCCCATTTAACTTGCGTTTATTACGATTGTTTTTCCGCATTCGGCAGGCAGTCTTATCGGTCATGCGAAAATGATCGATGATATCTCGGTTGCGCAATTTGTACGTTTGTTCGTTTGCCGCAGTAATAAGCGAACGCCCCGCCATACTAACAATCGTCATTTAACAAACAACAAAATTCTACGTAAATTTTCTGCAATTCGGCTGAATTGGTCTTAAAAGCAATTGGAATCCCTTATCAGCTGGTCAGGAGCGAGCATAAGCCTTCCACGATCCTTAGGTATCCTATTATGTGCCGCGAAGCGTACTTTTACATTTCGATTCTACGTTCACTCTGTCGACTATTTCAAAGTCCCAAGCTTTGCCAGGTACAATTTACCACCAATAATTCACGTAATAATTATCAAGTCTTATTATTTGCATTGTACGAATATTCCCGACTTCTTACGAGGACGACGAAACGATTTATCATCATTATTTTTGTTGTGTTTTGTATAATAAACGAATCAAATGCAGCTTCGGCACGGCTTGAGCATTCTAAATTCTTTGGGTTTAATGTTTAATCATTACTCGCGTAAAGTTAATTTGAACATTGATATTTCTTCGAAGCTTTGGACCTTAAGTGCTGGTAAAAGTAACCACGAGGTCGGAAGGGCAGAATGAAATCGACTAAATAAAATTCTGTCCCCGTCTTCATACGAACAACGCGAGATAAATTATATAATTTACAATTCATAAATTAACTAAACTATCTTCATACAATTCGCGAAAATCCTTATAACAATGAATTTATCGCATAAACAGATAAATGTATAATTTTAGATAATAAGATTAATATGATGGGAACATGTATTATTGATAGAAAACTAACAATCATTTTTCAATATGATGTCAAGGCAGTTGTTTTTGTTGTTTCACGGTGTACGCGTATGAGAGACGTAATTGCACGAGAGAAAATGTGAGGGAAAAGAAAATGTTAAAGCTAGCAATCTAAAGGATATTATGTATTTATAATGACAACGTAAATCACTCGTCGGTATTATAATTGCAAAATATATGAGAAAATTTGTTAAAAAAAATATATGTTCTCCAATTCAGAATAAATGGACATTGTCCGTTAATCTGTAAAATCTATAATATCATCAAATAAATAGACAGAGTTATGGGAACATCGCTTCCTCTCGCTAAACTTTAATTATAAATTAAAATACACAATACGTATCCATCCAACAAAATGCCATTATTAAATTATTTCTCCGAGACATGATGCAATATAATCTATAAATTATCAATTTTCATCGATTGTACATCTGTGCGAAGCTCGTAAGAGAATCGAACTATCGAACAACAAGAAGCGCTATTTGTATAATTAATTTGATAATACTTTTGAGCGAGCATATTATTAGAAATTAAATAATTAATTTAAGATTTGATTAAAGTGACAATGTAAAGCTGCGCTCCTACATTGTAGAAGAAAATTATTAAATTCTCGATCAAAGATTATGATATGCTTATAAACATTACTACGTATGCTATTAATGAAAATTATTTCTTTACGGAACTCTGCATCTTCATGATTTTTGCGGTATTTGGGTTATGCGTAAATTGCGTGCCCACGTTATGCAAGTTGCAAATGAAAAGAGACTTTATTATATACTTCAATTGTACTTCAATCTCAGTGAACAATAAGTATTATTATGAATGCACGTACATTCAAAGCTTCCAGTTGTACTGACATCGTCATTATTGCAACGCTTGCGATTAAGTTTCTAGCATTTTCCATCGGGAAGCTAAATCGTAATGAAACAAAATATTACGATTTAAATTCGACATAATCGTATTGAAAATGTAATGAACTTAATTGTCCTCGCATTCCTATACATGTGCATATACAATACGAATACAAAATTCGTAAAAGCTTTTTAACATTATTCTCAATCTGTATTGATTTGGATTATATAATTCGAAATTACAGAGCAAAAGGCTTGCATTGCGTAAATAGAAAGATAAATAATAGTATTTAATATGCATAATAATAAAATATAAATAAGATTATCGATTATGTTATATGCGTATGTGTATTTACCTGCCGATCAATCTCTTAATATTAAATTTATCAAAAATAAATAACAAAAGGTTTCATTTCCATCTAATTGCGTATTTAGTTGTTTAGCAAGAAATTACGTTATGATGCTTGTGATAGGGAGGAGGAGACCCACGATTGTGCGTCATCCTTTTATCATATTCACAGTAATTAATTACAATATCAATAATATCTTTACAATTGAGTTGAATGTTTTTTTTTTTTCGGTGC